AAAACAAAAAGCCCCCCCCCCCCCCCCCCACATTCTTCAGTCCAGGTACTCAATAAGGGGCTGGAGTAATGATTGCATTAAACCTGCACTCAAATGAAATTAATTAAATCTAGCTAATAGGAATCCTCCCATGAGTTTAATACTGTTCCCGTTCTGCCACCTTAAGTGCTGTAGATTAGTTGCTGCTTTTGTAGGTGCTGGAGGTGGGGGGCATATTTAGATTTAGGCCCTTGAGCTGAAGCGATAAGGAGAGCGGTGGGAGATTTGTGGTTTTTACCAAAGTCCGAGAGGTGGTACGTTTCATCTCCAAAGATGATCTGGTCAGTCTGGTAAATTGGAGGTTTGCAGTTGCGTTGCAAGGAAAATTGGTGGAGGAGTTGGGAAGGGCGCAGCTGGTCTCTCCACTGGTTGGGGCCAGAACTGGAAGTGAGAAATGGAACAATAAAACAGAGGAACCTCAAGGAGTCCTTTGTTCAACTCTCTGCAAGCTCTGGGCACTGTATTAGGGTCCTGCCACGCTGCTGCACACCTGACCTCCTTTCAAGGTGTTATGCAAGAGTTCATCCCTCTGGGCTCTGTTCTGCTCTCTCTCCTGTTCTGTAGTTGTTCATGATTATGGGTGGTAGTGTATTCATCCATGGTATTTCAAATGGCAAGCTGCTTTCAATGGAAGAAGGGAAGTATTGATCTTTTAAAACGAACCAGAAGCAACATGTAGAGAAAACACGCCAGTCCACCTGCACCCTATGTCGTTCTGTGGTTGTGCAATAGCTCCTAGCCGTGGGGCTTTTTGGGTCTCAGGGCAAGAGCCGCTTGTGCCTTGAGCAGGCCCTGTGAGAGCTGGAGCTCAGACTGGTGGCCTATCCAACGCCAGGCAGGAACGTGGACAGTGGCCTCAACCCGTCTGTGCTTCAAGCAGTGAAATGAGGTTAGTGGCAGTCCGGTGGCTCCATTGGCCCATCTCCTGAGCAATCCTCAGTATCTCAGAGGAATTACAAAAGAGAAGAGATGTTCTGTCTCTGCCATGGGCAACTAATGGCCATGCCTCTGTGGAGCTCCAGCTTCAGAGACAGGTTTGATATAAACACCACAGCCAACCGAGGAGAAGTATTACCTCCATGCCCTTCTGACACAGGCCTAAGGACACTTGAAGACCAAAGGCGCATCTGGCTCAGCATTTTCTACCCATTGTGCTGAGCCAGGTACCTCTGGGGCCCCCAAGTAAGGCACAAGAGGGAGAGTGTCCTCCTCCTTGGTGACTTGGTAACTGATACTCACAAAAACACTGCCTCCCCTACTGGAGGAAACAGATAGCCCTTATGACTAGTAGACACTTGTAGCTCAAACTTGTTGAATCTTCTTTTAGGGCCATTCTGGCTGGCCACTGGATGGGGCTTAGGGCAGACCCAGCTGCAGAGCTGTACTCCAAGACATAATAGCACTTCAAGTCCTCAGGCAGCCAGAAGACTCTCCTAAGCTTTCACCTATAATCGTGTTTAGCTTCAGAGGACGGGGCTGAATCTGGCACTTTCCACATGAAAAAGTCTGCCCTACCACTAAGTCACCTCACCCTCAGTTTCATGGTGGCAGCATCTGAAAGGCACAGGAGCTCAGGAACAGCATGAGATACCAGCAACAGGATGCCCCTCCACCCCACGTTTCTGTTTCTATGAGTACGTTTTACATGGGTCTCCAGAAGTACTCACATGCAGTAAGTCTGAGGAAGGCCACAACGAGCCCCATATCTGGAAAGGAACCGGTTCTCTAGGTCAATGATGGTCTCCCCGATCTTCTCATCTTTGGACAAGAGGTCATAGTCGTACAGAGTGATCTTCAAATCCTTCTCCATGGGCAACGTACAGGTCAGCTCAAACATCCTACAGAAGGCAGAAACACCAGGTCAGCTGGACTTATCACAGGCGGGGGCTTTACTGAGTTGCTTCAACTGCTCAGCAGTTGAAACTCAGCTTTCCCAATTGTCCTCACTCAGAATGGCATACAATGGGCAAGTTTCCTCCGGGCATTCTGGGAGCTGTAAGTCCAAGACTTCCGGAGGACAGGAAGTTAGAGAAGGCTGGCAGAGACTCTCCTACAGGGTCTAGAAAGTGGTTGCTATGATTAAAGTGACTCATTTTAGTTACAGACAAAAGTCTGGGATCCCCTCTAAGAAGGACGTGAATTCCACTAATGGCAAGATACATGTAAGCGATTTACAGTAAATCCAGAATACTGGAAGATGTCCGGTGGCAATCACAGACACCGCCTCTCCCTCAGCCTAACAGGAGTCGCTTAATCTTTTCAGGAACAGCTGCCCCTCCCCCTCCCCCATCCCTATCTGGGACTGATGGGAATACTTACTTCCCAAAGACTGGTTCCAGGGTACATGGAATATAATTGTCCTGATCATTCATGGACTTCTTCCCCACAGAAATCTTCACATAAGGGTCACACTGCATGGGAGAAGGAAAGAGAGAGAGCCAAGGTGGACTTTCTACAACAGTTCCAGGTACTGAAGAAGCAGGAAAGGCAAAGAAGCAGCAGTGAAAGCAAAAGGTCCTTTGACGTTTCCACCATAAATGTCCACCCTGCTATGGAAGCTACTTGTTCCTGCAAGCAGGCTGAGCAGCTGAAGAGGAAACTTTTAGGGAAGTCCGAGAACATTCCTTCCCGACCTGGTGCCCTCCAGATGCACTGAACCTCATGTTGGCTGGGGGTGGTGGTGGTATGAGAGTAGTCGTCCAACCCAACTGGGTGGGAGCCACCCGACTGGGGAAGGTGGCTCCATGTGCACTCAAGAATTCCTTTCTTTATAAACACACCTAAACTTTATATACCCGCACATATATAAAAAAACAAAGCTATTCTAAGCCACATGCTGGCAATAGATGGAGCCCAAGTTACCACTGAAAATAAACAGACCCTCAACCCCGTCTTCCTTTCTGCTCCCCTCACCCCACTAGTTGAGCGTGCCAGTGAAGACGAAGGCTGCGCATGGCGCGAGGACTACCAGTTGCCCACTCCTCAACTGAGCGGCAGAAGGAGCAGAATTCCAGGGCTTCCCTGGACCAGAAGGAAAGCATCATTTCTTGCTAACCAAAGCAAGGAAGCAGAGGAGGTTCCAGGGAAACTGAGGAGGCTCCCTCTGAGAAATTTTCCAAATATAATTTAGATGCAATTACGTTTCTCTCTAAGCGAATACTTTGAGGGTAACTCTGGTTCCTTACGAGCCTGCCCCCACCGCATCCATGACCTTACCTTCCCATTTGAATCCTTTGGCTGCAGATCAAAGGCACGGATGATGTAAACCCGCATGAGGCATTCCTGGGGGCCTCTGGCTGGAAGCTGGTGAAACTGACGCGGAGGGACAGGCACCGTGGGGTCATCCGGCAGAGGGTAGATCTTGAAAGAGCCCTGCAGACAGAGGGAAGCCATGAGGCTTCCACCCACACTGGCCCCTTCGGCGTCGTTCTCCATTCTGCAGCCACACACTTGAGCCAGAACTGGTCCAGGCATCACAGTGGGGCTCCTGAAGCACGCTGCAGTTGCCTCCTTGAATGTCTACTCCAGGGGACCAGCCCCTCTCAGAGAGTATCTCTAGTGTAATAACCTGTAGGAGGCTGATACTGACCTAGAAACTGTCTCAAAGACCCTAGGAAAGGGTGTTCGCCTCAGAAACATACTTTTTTGACAACCTATCACACCAGTATAGAAACAGGATGTGTGTGTACAAGGCTGGTTCCAACACAATGAGAATCTCAGCTTTCAGTGCAAGTAGAAAAGTTTCTTTCCTCTTAATGCAATGGGGCACTGACATGCTCTGCAAAAAGTGTAAGCAAAGTTGCCCAAGTGACAAATCGAAGAGCACCTGATTAGAGCTGGCAATGGCGTGGTGGGACTGACTGCACACCCACACACACCCCATGCCAGCACAAGCTTCCTTTCAGAATTTGCTCCACAGCAACCGCTCATCTTGGTTCAAGAAGCACCCGGCCCCATTTGGGAGGTCTTCTTCCACCCACTTACCCACCCACCTTCATTCCTCCGGACTGCAGTATCTCAGCAACATAAACGGCCACTTTAGGAAGGGGCCCACATGAGGGGAAAAGTCAAGTAACTGATGAGGGCACTAAAAGATGCAACAGTCATATGGAAAGCAACCACCTGTGTAGGTCTTGGACTCATTGCTGGCAGGCACATGGACCCAGAAGGATGCAAAGAAAAGGGCACTGCACATCTAGAATGTGGGGAATGGAAACAGAGCATGACATCCCATCCTACAAGCCCTAGGAACTAGAGTCTTAAATTACTCATAACCTCTCTTGCATTTGTTCAAGCTTTTCTGAAGGAGCCTTGACAAATGCTGTGCCTAGAGCAGAGTTTCTCAACCTTGGCCACTTTAAAATGCGCGGACTTCAACTTCCAGAATTCCCCAGCACAGCTGAAGTCCACACATCTCAAAGTGGCCAAGGGTGAGAAACACTGGCCTAGAGCCCTCTTAATCTGCTACTGGCAGGAGAGCTATCCCTGAGAATCCCCACTTGAACTCAGCCCCTCCCGTTCTCACCAAGCATACAAAGACCAGAAGGAGATTGGCAAACCTTGAACTCCCCCACAACAGTGGGGTCTTCGCTGTCATCCTGAGCTTTGCCACGGTACAACTTAAAGGTGTGGCAGAAATCCGAAAGACCCCCAAAGTCTTCTATGCTCTCCAACTCTGTCTCGTAGATCTAGGGAAAGAAGGATGAGAAAAGCGTTTTGTTTCTTTTTCTCAGTTATCTGAAGGGATGGGCAGTCTGGCAGGGAAAAGAAAGCCCCATCTGGTCCATTAACATCTTCCCACTTCTCTCTAGAGAGATGACTACCAGTTCACACTGGCTCTCACAAGATAAGCCCTTTCCACTTAGAGGTTCAGAAAGGCCATTGCACCCTAGAATTCCTCATGTCTCTATGGAACGGGGATGCAGCACAACCCCCCACTCTTAGCAAAGCTACCAACTTCCCCTAGATCTTCAGGCTTGGATATAAGTTGCCCTCTCCAGAAAAATGCATAATGGGATTTTGAAGGTCCCTGAGAGGTTCCTGGAAGGATGTGGTAAGAATGGCTATGGCTGGCACATTGATTCCAGTATCTTCCTGAGCATTTACCTGGACCTTGCTTGCATTTATGGAAGTCCTCCTTAATGAAGGAACATAAGAATCAAAGCTGGATCAGGCAAAGGTCCAACTTAGTCTAACGTTTTGTTTCCCATGTTCCAGCATTCAAAGGCTGTGGAGCAGCTCACTATCCAGGAGCTGTATCTACAAGATGCACAGGCATACTGGAAATTATCCCATGGCCCACCATGAAGATAATTTAAGCAGCACTATTTAGCTCTAAGCAGCAGAGTCTAAACTGAAAACAGGAGAGAATGTCTTCCTGGCCAGCGGCTCTTAGGTTACTTGCTGGTGCTAGATCCAAAGTTTAAAGCCGGCGTCTTCTGTTGATAGCAAAGACATCTTAATATTCAGACCCAGCGCGGCTAATCTAAACCCTTCTGCTACCCAATCCGTGCTTGACGTGATTCTTTCTACCTTCTGTGTGAACGGCCCGTGTTTCTTATGAAGTCCAGTCCCAGGTTGAGGTCAAGACATTCCTAGCAAGAGCTCCAGATGTGACAATTGCACCTGCAAAGCCATGGCTGTCATCACTCAACACCCAAAGAAAGACACTCTCAAGGGCATTACCTTTAGAGTGTCAAAGCCTTTCTCCAGATAGGAGCCACATTTCTCTCGCTCGCCTGTGGAAGCATAGAATTTGCTCCACCAGTCAATGAATTCTTCTTCCTGGAAATGAAGGGAAGGAACAACACCTCGTTTATTATTTTCAGACCCTCCAAGGCCTTCTGCTCTACAGCACATGGAACATTTCAACGGAAGGCTTCAAAGCATTGGATGGCCTTTTCCAAGCTGTGCCTTCCAGATGTTTTGAACATCAAATACCATAACTCCACAACAGAGATTAGGCTGGCTGGGGATTATGGAAGTTGGCATCTATCATATCTAAGGCAATCCAGGTTGGGAAACTTTGGTCTTAGGCAGTAAGATTCTCATATTTTATAAAAGCCAGAAGGGAGAGTTCATGTTGGATTTGGAGAACACCAGGAGTACATACTTGGCAGGCCAGATGTAATGGGTGCAGTTCCAACATCTCTGGTTTAAGGCCCAGGTACAGATGAAGGGAGACTCGGAAGATGCTGGTAGTGACCAAGTTGGCCTGGGGACCAACTCAGCAGAAAACAAGGCTTTCTAAGGGACTACAACTTGCTTTTTCTTTTTAAGTGTTTTTTTTTTCAAAATAGTTAACTATTCTGAAATTGATTGAAACCGCAAAGAAGGGGCAATTTGTATCTCATGAAACATTCCTCCACAAATAAATAACTCATTTTAGAATTCCACAAAATTCCATCATGCTAAGCTCATCAAGAAACCATAATTCTGGGCTTACAGAGTTCGATTACAAGCCAGCCTGCAGAATTCCTTCTAGTCACCTTCTCAGGGGCATCGAGCTCCCCCTCCCATTTCTTCATAGAAAAATGACAGAGATTTCCTTTTCCAGGACACCATCCGGGTCGCCATTTTTCATCAAGAAAGCTCCTCTCAAACCAAACTGGCTTTATTATGACATTCCACAGGTGCCAAGTTACCAAGAAAGCACTTTCTGTAATCTGACGATTTACCTCTGGTATCTTCTACAGCCCCAAGACAAAGAAAGGGGTTAGAGGTTTCTGCTGATTTTTGGAATGATGTTACCAAGAAGGGAAAAAAAGTGTGTGTTTTTCTAAAAAAGCAAAATGCCAGGAAAAGAGGCTGGAATGTTGATTGGAAAGGATGCTAATCTGTCTCCATCGGAATGGAAAAGCCACGCAAAGGACAGGCCGCTCACGACCAGGGGCGAGCTTCATGGATCCAGCTGAAACCAAGACGGAACGCTATGGATTAATTAATTAGCATTGGTTTTGCAATGAGGGAACCTGAGGTGCTACGCTGAACGTAGCACAGCCTTGTGCAAGGCGGTGTCCTTCCAATGTAGTGGATTACAGCTCCCATCATGTTTCATGTGTATCACCCGGTTGTAGCTGCCCAGCTTGACTTTTCTGGCCATATTCTGTGGACAGGCCAGAAATCCACATTTATAATGCAAAGAGCACCCTTTCCATTCCATTCTTCCATTCTAAAATGTTTGTTTTTAGAGGGGGATTGTGGAGCCTCCTCCCCCCCACCCCCGCTGCACTGCCATGATTTTGCATGGGCTTCGTTCTTGGAGGCCAATCATCTCACACACAGAGAAACCAAGCCAGCATCTTCTGGAAGCAGCTGGTTGTTGGATCGTTTGTCAGAGATATATGGCAGAATGATGCAGTGCAACTTGATGGAGGGACACAGTGACCATCCCACCCCCACACTTCAACTGTGAAGCCTGACTGGATGGGGACCCTGCCACTGTGAAGAGGGGGAAGGTTTGGGGCTCAAAGGAAAGTTAGTTAATTTCTCACAGCAACTACCCCATGGGCAACTCTAGGGAGAAATTCAGGAATTACTGTTGGAATAGAAAAAAATTGATAATGCTTAGTAAGGTTGAGAACAGAAAACAATGAATCAGGTGGAGGATGGGCTCAAGGAGAGGACTGGAATGTCCTTGGAATTTGTACAAGTTTTTACTGGGGACAGATCAAGGTAGTCCATGCAATTACCAGGAATCCAACTCAACTTGAGGACACCTCCCTCCCTCATTAATCTACAAGAGGTGGTCAAGATGACTAGTGGGAGGATGAGCCCAAAACCAGTCTTCATGCCTTTCAGCTGAGGGTGACCAGGAGAAATGTCTTGGTGGATGTGGCCTTGTAAAACATCTCATATCCATCCCATTTAACTGACTGCTTCAGTGACAAGGGAGACAAAGCTTGGCACGGGGATCACTCTGTGGTTCACGAGCCTGGCCTTGGCAGCCTAACCCCACACAGGGAGCCCCGATGTGGTTACATCCATGGGAGGCAACCACAGGAATGTGAGGCTGGCATACCATTCTCAGACCTGGGTATCAACTATCAGGCTTCAGCTGGAGACACTCGATCCTGGTGGCTCTTCCAGAGAACAGTAACTGGAGAGGCCGTAAAATATCCGCTACGATCTGAGACTAGCAAGCACAGCAAATAACCAATTACTCCAAATAGTTTACAGATTTCGGCTTGCATGATTTCTGGCTCATGTTTCTCGTGCTAACTTGTTGCTTAATGGCTTATTTGTATTAGAGACAGCAGAAGGTCTGGCAGGACGAGCAATACAAAATCGCTGGAATCTTCAGCGGAGGGAAGGGCTCCTTCAAACCATTCTGACATTAGTGATTGTTCCTCAATTCTCCCAATTTCTTTCAGGTTATTGGGAAAGGTATCCAGCTTGGAAGAGTTCAATGGCTTCTAAAGCGAGCTTCAGATATCAAAACAAACCAGGCTTATTAAGCCAGCCCCAAGGGGCGGAAATCACACAGCCCGCTGACTGGTAAACCATGGTTTTAGTAGTTGGTTATTAGTTGCATTCACACAACGTACCAAGCCAAAACCCAGCCACCCATCTGATGCACAGGGTAGAAGGAAGCCCTACCAACAAATCCCAGCTATCTATTTAACTGGGGCATCACCACTGGAACATGGCATCCCTTGACTGGCAAACATCCCCAGGATCTTGCCGGACTGTGACCAGGTGAATGTGGCAATGCAGCTGCAAAGCCTCCCAGTTGTTCGTCCTACTGGGACTCCAGTGCCTGATCCAACAGTCCTGATGATCAGGCGGCATCAGATAGCAAGGGATGAGGAACTTTAGAATAAAATGCTGCTTGATATTTACATTTCATGAAGTTGCTTACGTTTCTTCTTTAAATTCCTTGAAGCAGGGAAGAGAACAGGTGTCGGCCGATGCAGTTTTGCCCCAGATCTTCTACGATGTACTTGCTCCTGTGCCGGATTCCACAAAGTCAGATCCTCGGAAATGCCAGAGCTTGAAGCCGGGATTTCCGATCTCAAGAGCTCCCACTGCTTGGGGGAGCCTGTTCCCCACACCCTCCCCTCTTGAGCTGCATGTGGCTGAGCTCCAGCACTGTTCTTACAGTGAGCACCCAATGCTCACCTGCCCGGATCTTGCTGTCTTGCAACAATACACTTCCAGGGCAGTTAGCAGGTTTTGCCTTCCAAAAAAATCCTTGCTGGATGGCAACCATTCCCCAACTCCCCATCTGGAACTCTGCTGGTTGGTGGCATTGAGTTGGATTTAACCCTCATGACTCTATAGGCCAGTGTTTTTCAAACTTGGCCACTTTAAGATGAGTGGACTTCAACTCCCAGAATTCCCCAGCCAG